TAGCTACTGGCATCACGTCAGGAGGGCTGCCGACTCCCAGTGTCCCAGTGTAGACAATGTTATCATTTTCGAACGTGGGGGCTGTGGGCGTTTCCTTCCCTTTGTGTGGTCCACTGTCTCTCCCTCACAGGCGTGACCAAGCGTGGCCCAGCTCCTCGCTGGTGCCCTGGGCCCGTCTCCGAGCGTCAGGGCGGACCAGCAGACAGGCAAACCCCAGCGTCCCGATCGCATGACATCAGCGCTGGCGAGCAAATGGATGGAGTTACAGATGATTAGAATTCCAGGCCCGGGCTGGAGGCCGCCCAGACACCAAGCCACACTCACCACCACGGGCGGCTCAAAGGACTCTGTCACAGACAGATCCAAGATGGCTTGGTACCGTGAAACTTGAGGTGTAATTTCAGCAAAAGCAGCACGAAGTTTGAACACAGCGAGTGCACACTCGATCAACCCGCCATGCTACACCACACCCCAGTGGCTCCTTTTCTCAGGCCTGAGAAAAAGCACATGGACACCACAGACAGAGGGAACAGGAACCAACAGGGCTTCTGGTCAGGAACCAGCTTAATCCTCCCCCCAGACCACGACATCACAAAGGCAATACACGTCTACAGATCATACAGCTTCACTGACATGTCAGAACTGATATTACCTTCCTAACCCGGAATGAACTGACATTACAAGAAAGATAAGAAAATCAGTCATATGTGCATCACGCCTGCTCCCTTTTCAGCCTTGGGACACAGACTGAGCAAGCAGCTGAAGAGCTTCCTTAGCAAAGATACAGCCTGGCGTGCAGCCACACGGGTCACATGGTGATGCCGCAGAAGAGCAATCGTGTGTGTTGGTCAATCATACGGTGGACCACCTCAACACGTCCTGCCCTTCAATGGCACCGTATCACACCCGAGTAGTGATGCAGCTGAAACCCAACTCTGAGGAGGGCAGGCTCACTGAGGCAAGCTGTTTGCTACTTGTCTGTGATTCTGAATCCCCCCACCTTCAGATGAGCAGACAGCCCAGGGACTTGACATTTTCTTCAGCTTGGGGGGGTTGGGGTGGCAGGACTACAGAGGCTAACACTGACCACACACTGGTCAGCAGACAGAGTTCTGTCCAAACCCGAATTCTCCTGAGAATGGGGGTGGACGGAGCAGGGTGCCAATTGACACCTGCATGTGAAGGCTGCATATTGCCACCCTTCATACAAAAACCCAGCTGTGAGGAATAAACTGCCTGGCCACCATCGTACACTCCTCCAGCAGACCCTCTTTGCCTCGTGCTACCCTCCGCCAGGGTTACCGGCTAGCCCTGACCCCCGCCAGGGTTACCAGCTAGCCCTGACCCCCGCCAGGGTTACCAGCTAGCCCTGACCCCCGCCAGGGTTACCAGCTAGCCCTGTGGTAACCTCCCTCACTGTAGGGAAAAACATGAGTTGTCTGAAAAACCAGATTTTCCTCTCACGAGTTTTATAAATAACACATCAGTGGAGGCTACAAGCAATATGCAACTGAGTCTTCACCATGAAAATCAGAGACACTGGGAACTCTAGCTCACAGACAGATCAAATTTCTCACACCAGCAGGACAGGTCTCAGAAAAGTGTACATTAATAAGTAGGGATATAAATACAGATGGCTGTTAATATTCTTCTAATAGAAATCATTAAACCAAAACTGTTTACAGTACATAGAAATTAAAATGATATATGCATACAGGGTATAATGAGAAATAGTTTAATAAAAATAAGTGTTAAAAATGAGCAACACAAAAGCTAATCAATACTTTGATTGGATAATAAATGCAGTTGCTGAATCAAGTATTTAAACTCATTTGCTAAGAGCCTACACTACAGATATCAAGACCATTACGAAATAACAGGTAAACTGCCTTTATTTGTCTTTATTATTTATAATAACCATTATTTATATGGTTTCCTGTAAACCACTGACAAAATGGCAGAAAGGTCATTTTACCTGTAGGTCGAAGCTGTTCCAGCAGTTTAAATGACAGAAGGGTGTACATCATCTCACATCGATTCTTTCAACACATCTGCTGTCTCCCAAAGGAGGGATGTAAACATTGTCACAACCAAAAGCTCAAGAGAGACACCTAGAACATGCTCAAATAACACACCTGTAAAATGCACCTCCACGTACGACAGGTCTCTCCTAGCTCCCCTATTATTTCCCTACGAGATAGCGGCAAGAGTACAGCTCTATTACTAAAGCACTGTAAGATAGATGAATATTGTAATAGTGTCATTTTGTATAAAAGCACTTTAAAAACATGACATAATGCTAATTATGATGATTTTAATTAATGACTGACAATGAATTAATAATAATAATTGAACTGTAAGTAAAAATTTAGCAATCAAGTGCATTACAACTGAAACAGACCACAGATTTCAGGCTTCGAGAAATGTGAGTCCAACAGTACCTGCATACTCGAGGTCTTGAGTACAATTAAACTGTGTTTGACTAGATGGTCCTCTTTCGCAAAATGCAATATGGCAGGATTTCCATTATGAGGTTAAATCCACTTGTCTGTATTCAATTCTTATCTTTCATGATCCCTATTTCATTCCAATTAAAATAACCCCAACAAATTAACAGATGAGACTGAGCCCTCTTACCTGGGTTTGGGACAGAAATCTAGACGAGGTCAGATGGCTGTCCTGGTTAAGACACAGTCTGGGAGAAAACCTTCTCCTCCTCTTAAAGCACACCATGCCAGCTACTCCATTTTAAACACATGGACAGTTCCACACGAAGATTGCTCCTGACTGATTCTGTCATAGACGCACTCAGGGTGAATCTAGAGCCTACTCACATGGGCTTAGGAGTGTTCTGTAACAAGGGCTTTTGGATGTACTGAATGTGACTTACGCATATTTTGTGATACAGTACTTTCAGGCGTTTTGTGTACTGTATGCCGCTAGTGTTATTATGGATGCAAAAGTGCCCTTGAGACCTCAACTGATCCTTCTTTGCAACGATTCCCAAGCTACAGTCAACCTCCATGTGCAACATAATTTGTTCAAAAACAAACACAGCAGACAGGGACACCCTCACATCACATGACACATTCACTGCACCCACTCGGAGACACTGGTCTTGTGGAGAGCAGGTCAGCTTGTTACAGCGCTGGATCAGCAACTAAGTTTGCAGGGACAGGCGCCTTTTCACAATCGTTTTTAATCAGCCCTCCTCTCCCTTAACTTGTGTAGCTCCTTCCATTATTTACCCTTTTTGCATTTCTTGAACACTGCTGCTGGTTTCAGAATTGATAATAAAAATAAAAATATCTGCATAAACCTGTAAGACTCATGGTAAAGGACCCCAAAGCACCAATCCTGCCTGTGGACTGGAAATCCATAGAAGCTCACTGTGCATCGATGTTCAGAATGAACAGCAAAACACGAACCAGAGGAAACTGTGTGGACGTGCACTTAAAACGGAGAACAGGAGGCACGTCTTTACCCAAAGGGATGCGGGAGTGTGGAACAAGCTGCCCTGCCATGGTGTGGAAGCCGATACCTTGGTTTTCCGCCAAGAAACAGCTGGATGGGCCTGGGATCAGTTAACTACTGGCAACCCAACAGAGATCAGAAGGGTCAAGTGGTCTGCCACCTTTCTTATGCTCCTAAGTAAGAGTACGAACCGGAGTCGCGTTGCGTCTCCGGAGTGCTGCAGTGGGGTGGAGATTCGATGCAGGGGCTCATGTGGAAAAGAACCGGTTGCCTGTGCGGTAAAGAAAGCCTCCTTTCGGCTGGGCAGCGCCGTCTCACACGCTTGCTAGCGCAGGAGCTCACCAAATTTCCGGACGAGCCTGTGGTCTTTTGAAGATGTAAAGAGGGGTGTTGGTGGGGGGGTAGGGGTGCTGAATGCGTGTCCTGCATCATCACAGGACAGAAGGAAGTTTGGAAATAACCCGCCAGCAGGATGATTTATCTGTCCCTTTCAGTGCTGAGGCAGGACGGGCAGGTCAGTCCCTCAGCATTCACATCGGAGATCTGCCGCATGAAAGACGCAGGGGGGATTATGAATCATCGTTCCCCGTCCCCCCAACTTCCCTTTGAAATGATAACAAAAATCAAAACCGAACGAAGCCCCCTGAAATCCTGCTTTTGATGTGCAAAAAAAAGTCCAGCGACGGACGCTACTTTCTTTTCGCCTGCTCCGTCAGGACGGAAAAGAAAAAAAAAGAAAGAAGGCGCAAACGTCAGCTCCCGAAATCAAGAGAACACAACAGGAAAGTAAAACAAGGGGCACTGCATCATTATGGCAGCAGAGACAAAACCAGATTGTTTTAATGGAAGAAAGACGCATCTGTCATCCACTGCCACCTCATTCACACTACCACTCCGGCCCATCCATCTTCCCAACGCAGCCCATGACACGGGCACAGGTTTCGCTTCTTCTCGCTTCAAGAATCAATACGGACATCATTCTATCCAGAATTAATGGCCGGATAAAATTTCCAGCCCCCCCCGCCCCAGCCTGACTCGTCCCCGCCCCCTCCCCTCTGGACCCCTCGGGTGCAGGCGCGCTTGGCAGGCGGCGGGAGGGGGTGTGCTACCTGCTCCGACGGCCCTCCGCCCAGCCGGACACCCTGGCCACGCAGGGCCAGCGGCGGGCATTCCTTCCCTGGGACACAAACCAACCGCGGGCGGGTCTCCGGCCTGCGGCGGCCCCCTGCGGCCCCGGGGTCTCGGAGTCGCAGCCCGGGTCAGCTGTGCAGAAGCAGGGAAGGGGGGCGCCCCCCCCCGCCAGGCCCACGCCTTGCAAGGCCATCGGGGGAACAGGGGAGACGGCCCCGAGGACACGAAGCCCCGAGAGTGAGAGCTCGCAGGGACGGAGGCGGGGCCCGTCTTTGAAATCGCACAAACACGCACAGCAAAACCCCCGCAACACAACTTGGAGGGGAGACTGCGGAGGAAGAGAGGGATAAAAAAAAACAGAAGGCGAAGAAAGAGAAAGAAAGACAAAGACCTACTTGTCTCAAGTCGATGAACGCCAACAACAAAGTGTCCCCCTGAAATCCAGGCACTGGCCCCGAACTGGCAAAGCCTGTGGGAAAGCGGAGGAGATAAAGAGGGGTGTTAAATAAGCATGGACAGGGAGATTGGCAGACGGATGACAGCAGGGACAAGGGAAGCCGGGGGAGAGGAAGGCAGCCCCGCTGAAGAGTCATGTCTCTGGGGCTGCCACCTCTTTGTTCGCCCTTCAAAAATTCGTGTCATCAAAACCGCATTAATTCTCAGCGCCGCTGACAGGGGAGGGGTGGGGCGTTCGGGGGGTGGGGGGTCCGTACCAGCCCGACCTGAATGGCATTCCCATGAGCAGCGTTCTGGCCCAGTGGCGCGGGCGGGGGGGCGCGGGCGGGGGCATGCTTTCCCAGAACAGCGGGGTAAACAAGAAGTTCAGTATTAAAAAAATAAAAGAAACGTTGAACACACAGAAGAACCCGAGCTGTGAAATCCCTTTCACCTCCAAAAGCCATTTGTATTATCAGCCTGCAGAGGAATTACACGCCTGCCATTTTTATTTTTGAACGGAAAATAGTTTCGGATTTTGTGTTTTGTTTTTCGTTATTTTGCTTTTCAAGATCAGGGCAGCTGGCTGCAGACTCACGTGGTTCATTTGTCTGAACGCATTTCATCAGAGGCGGCTTCTGAAATTGCCCCAGCACATCTCTGCGCGAACCCGCAAAGCAGACAGACAAGCACAAAACAACACGATGTTGTGGCCTTGTGTTCGTCCCCCGACTTCAGGAGCCCTCTCTTTTGAGCGCTCTCAGGTGCGCTCTCCAGCCCTGAACCTGGCTTTGCGTGCTGACTGAACGGAAGGGGGATTCAGGCTGGGCTAAACAGCAAGCTCTAGGAAGGCTGCTTGGGCGGAATCCCACCCCACCGGTGCAACACGCAACGGTCTGAGAGCGCCCCCTGTGGGATACACACACGCCTGCAGCTCTGTGCCTGCTAACAGGACGCCGCCCTTCACCACACAGAAAGAAACACAGAAGAGCTTGTGGAAGGAGATTACAGTCCACTTAAGACCTCGCTTTGATCTTTTACTCCCAGGCTACAATGAGGAAACGTGTGGTCAGAGTCTGGTCATCCACTGGGCAGCCCCAGCACAGCTCACAGTCTCCCATCCTCTGGGGGAGCCCCAGTTTTATTTAAAAGACAGGCATCTTTCATTAAGATAGATGTGTGTGTCTGATTTTGACAGCACGGACAGCACACAAATTTGACCATTTTTGGAGTTTTCAAGATCCAGCAATGGTGGTTGTACTCCACTTTGTAAATCATGCAACATTTTCTAAATTCCTGTTTTTATTCCCTCATATTAACTGCAATGGAATAATCAAACACATCTAGATGAACTGCAGCCATGAACCAGCCTCTGCACTATGCACCTGGAGCAGGTGTGTGACAGTGAGGACACCTGTCTTCAGGGCAGGCTGCTGTCACAGAGAAGGGGTGTTAGACCCCACTGGAGGATGGGGCATTTGCATGGGCACTGCCCAGACTTGCAGGTGCCCTGCCAGCCACAGAGCTCAGTAACGGTACCAAGGAAGTATGTGAGCACACCAGGCCCAAGACCGCCTGTACTATGTCAGAGTTGCCCCAGGCTCATCTGGGCACAGCCCTCACTGTGGCCGCAGGGCGTGGTCCCCTCCACGAGCTCTTTGTAACGGCCCTTTCAGACTCCGGCCTGCCCCTCCGGCTCGGAGACACCAGGTGCTGGCTCACAGCCCTCAGCTCACCTGCTCTGACACTGCGAGGCTCTCCTGATGCACTCTGCCAGACACAATCCGAGCAAGCAAGTGGTTACATTTTAGGAGAGCTATGTCTTTGTGTGCTACCACTGCCCCCTTTACCTCCTCCTTTTTCATAGTGTGCGACTGCTGTTGTGGAAAACATGTCCCAGGCGCTGCTGATCATTTCTTGAGAGTGTGTGCGCTGACTGAATGATATTCTCAGAGTGCTCCAGTCTCTTTAATCCTAATCTGGCCATAAATCAGTATTCAAATGTTCACTGTACATCTAATGGGAGGCTGCTCGGTGTCTGGAAATGACAGGCATTAGTAAATTACAGTTACTGGTCGACATCAGAACCAACCCATGGTCAAACTCATGTAGAGGGACATGCCCACAGGATGCTGACGTGGTCCAGAAACAGTGGTGTTGTGACTGACATAAATCTGATCTTCTAGATACCTAGTGATGGAAAGCAAGGAGCCCTGGATTTCCTCTTGCTTTCCCTTCGCTTATCAGGTGCTCATTGTTTACATTTCTTATTAGTGGGCTTGTGCAGATATAGTTGTGCTGGTATATACCACAAAAAATAAATGCTGCATCGTAGCCAAGTCATCCCTGTCTATTTTAATGCCAAGGCCACATCGTGCGTCACCCTGTGCCTAAAGCACTGAGAACCAGCTGTGCCACAGTCACACCCCGCAGTGCCCAGATCGCTGGGGTCTCAATGAGACCTCATATCCCACAGTGCTGCCAAAACGGTCCTGGTTGGCATTAATTCTGCTACCGATTTTCAACCCCTTTTTCATCTACTCATGACCCTTGGTCCTACCAGTCCTAAAACCCAGTTGAGGTGGCCTGGACTAATCCAGCACCACCACACCCACTGAGCTGCTGCTCTTGAGATCTGTGCCCTGTTTCCTGCTCCCCTTGCCTTCCTCTGCATGCCTCCCTCCCGTCTCCCTCCCTCCCTGCTGGGGCTTTCAAATAAACAGAACACAAGAGGATAAGGACTACGAGAGGAGCCATTTGGCTTATCCTGCTGATTTGCTAGATAGTAGCTAATTGATTTAAGGATTTAATCCAGCTGTTTCGTGAGGGAAACCAAATAACTGGTTCCAACATGGCTGAGCTGTTTATTCTATGCTCCCACAGTCCTTTGGGTAAGGAAATGTCTCTTATTTTCCACTTGTGCCCTCTGGTTAGTGTTTCACTGTTCATTCAGAAATCTCCTTCAAAGGAGGAGTCAGGTTCTTTCACAGTCTTTTCTGTTCAAGACTAGAAAAGTTCAGTTCCTACAGCCTGTCAGGGGAATGTCCAACACTAGGTCCTCATATCTGGTATATCCAAAACCTCTCAGACTCAAGACAGGGAACTAAAGGCTGCAAAAGCAGCACATGACATGTATCAGGCTGTGAGTCCTGCCCACAGACAGACGGTTCCCTCACTTTGGCCTCATGCAAGCAGCATTTCCACTCCAAAGACCCACTCCTAGTCCTCTGGTGAACTCCTCCAGCTTCTGCACTTCTGCTAAGCCATATTTAAGAGTCTCGCAATACTGTGGCGACTTTAAAAAATGACTAATTAGTGAAGAAGAATGTGTGTGGCTCAGAGTTCGAGGATGAAAGGAGCTAGAGACCCTTCCTAACTCTTCCTGACACTCAGAAAAAGAGCCAAGCCTTCACTTCTTTTCTTGAGGTAGAACAGTATCTGCCACAACGTCACTCAGTTACTGAACTAGCTTTGCTGGGCACCTGCTCTTGTAGAAAATTAACTTCTTCACCAGTGGCAAAAAAGTGAAGACTCCAGCAAAACACCCCAAACCCCCTCTGCCCTTGCCTCTCCTCCCCCTCTCAACAACCACTCTTCTCTAAAATATTTTGGAGCCATCAGCAGAACTCTAGACAAAAGCCACTTTAACTGCAGTGAGAAGGAACCGGTAGTCTATAGAACTGTCTGTGTGTGCCTTTTCCATTCTCCTGAGACGCAGATAGCGGGAGGTGAGACAGTGATGTATCACAGGGTCAGGCGGCCTCCATCTGTCTGACTGTCAGCGCCCACCAGGCCAGCACCGCGGGGCGGGGAGTTCTCCCTCTCTGAGCGTGCTGATTGGGCAGAGGCTGGGCAAGAGGAGGGAGGCAGACCCTGTTCAGCCACGCCCCTTTCATGCTGGACCACTCCAGGACTGGCTGCCTGCAAAGCCTGTACCTGTCACTCTGTGAAACTCAAAGCAGCTGATGTGAGCTGTTCTGCTTGAGGAATTACTTTTCCCCCTAGACAACTAATAAATAACATCCATCAGAGGACTTCCAGGCGGGGTAGAGGGGTTTTTGATGTGCTCAAAGAGAACTAGTTTTGTGTGCATAATTCTGTTACATGCCAGAGTTTTTCTAGATGAAAACCACTGTATTTTTAATTAGACGCTGTGATGGTATAGTGCATCAGAATATTTTGCTCTTTTTGTTTATTTCTATTGCAAATTTGAGGAGCAGCTTCAGCACTAAAGAAGGAGCTTTACTGATGAATGGACTGCCTCCCAAAGACGTTTCAAAGCTCCTGTTACAGTATTCTTAATTCTAAGAAACATGATATCTCTACAAGTATATATAGCCCTGAATTAAGGATAGATGTTTCCCACAGGAGTCATGAAAAGACGTCCACTTGAAGATTTATTAATTTTATGTGAAAGCAGTGCCAGTGGCAGCTGTAGGGAGTGAAGAGGGAGCCCCCTTCTGGGAAGACGGGAAACTCACGTTCGCACTCCTTGACGTCCTCGTTGAACTGCTGCAGGGCGCCCATGGACACCTGACGGACACCGGCCTCCAGCAGCAGCTGCAGCAGCGAGGTGGACAGGTGCTTGCAGGCCGACATGCAGGCTGTCTGGGCCACCTTGCCCTGGAACAGCAGGAGGAAAGCCTCTGTGAATACGGGTCTCTCTGACAGGTCACCTCCAGCGCGCCAGCACAGGACAAGTGATGCACACAGCTCCGACATCAACACAAAGACCGTGAGCGTTTCACACAGCACAGGACTCACGATCACCCAAGATGAGACAATTTTAAATTTCCGTTGCACTGTGCACCTCCTGATCCAATGATCTCATTAAACCCATTGTTCCCCACACTATCTGGTAATCGTGATCATCGCCACTCGTTTCAGGGAAAAGCAGCAAGTAACAATCCCAGTTAAAACTAGATCTCAAAATGCTTGATTGATCTCTAAATTGGAACAAACATTTTCCTCATTTTGAATTAAATATTTTTCATACTTTTTAAACTCTGAATCTTCAGCAAGTTTTGTTACACCATTACCGGTTATCACTGAAGACCATTAGGAGGCTTTAATGAATCAGTCAAGATGCCAGTTTGGTCACAGAGCTGGGCTGGAGCTGAAACCAGAGGACACTTGGAGCTGTACTGGCCAGCTGTGGCCAGCGATGAGACCAGGCGGCACCTGTGTCCTGCAGCTGCACTGATCTGAGCACAGCACACGTCTGTGTCTGACAGCAGGCACTGATCTCCAATACTTCCCGGCTCATCATTTTCATCACCCAATTCATGAAGCACATAATGGCCAATTGTTCCAGGTGAAAATCTTAACTGAGTTTCCTAAGCTGAGCCAAAGCACTTTGTCCATCTTTGGGAAGGTTACTGGGGAGTGAAGGAACGGAGGAATGGACACTGATACTCATCAGCTGAAGCTCAGTTACAAGCCTGTGTATTTCACTCTGTAACTGTAAATCCCATCCTGACCGTCTTAACAAGCACAACACGACACATGGCACCGTTCTGCACAGGGCTCTCTGGGGTCTGGCCTTGTCCAAGGTGGCTGTCAGAGCTCTGCCCAGAATGCAGATAATAACAGGGCTTAATTCAGTCCAGCTTAGACCACAATAAAAACAACTCTTCAACAGAGGTATCAGTCCCCTCTTTTCAGTGTTGGTACGGAGAATCAGAATGGCCCCCAGGCTCTCGTTCAGAGCAGAGGAAGCCCTTGAAGCCTGCAGTATGCAGGCAGGCCCGTTAACTGGGCCTGCGTGTCCCTGCCCACAGCCCCCTCCCTGTGGCCAAGGTCAGCGAGCGCGGCCTGCAGCCTGGCAATGCCATCGGGCTGTACGCACAGCCCAGGATTCCCATCTCCGCCACACTGGACTGGCAGCGGGCCCCTGGAGGAGAGTGATCAGTGAGGGTGCGATTATAGTGCCTGTGGCAGCTCTCTGAGCTTTGTGATACTGCACAGAGCTGGGCGCGCAGGAGTCAGGGAGTCAAGGACGAGCTGAGGTGCTCATGACAGCTGACCAAGAGGGAGCCCCTGGACACTGCAGAGTCCTGTGTGGACTATCATTAACAGCCACGGGAACAGAAGAATGTTGATAAGAAGTGCTCCTGGCTTTCAGTTTTAAAGGCACATCGTTTTCTTGTGTCCTCCTTGTTTGTGAAGTTCACGTAGGGAGCTGCCTCAGCATGCACAGGCTGCAAAGGAACAATTAGAGGTTTATTCCAGCTGAAAGAGAAGAACAGAAACACAACGTGACACAGCTGAAACATTGTGTCTCTTTTCCTTTCGCCGTGGAATAAACCTTCACTACTCTCAGCTCGCTGACACCATCACACACGCTTGCACACATGCACACACCAGGAGAACACAGCTCTTCCTGGCCGCATTCCTGCTCGTTGCTGCAGCACGAGGGAGCACAATCCCAGCACAGGAGCCAGGACAGTCCAGCTCAGACGCTGCAGCTGAAACACCGTTCAGCAAAAGTTATGCTTTGGTGCTTTACAAAACTTCAGATTAAAAACCAAACTTTGATGAAACAAAGGACAAGAGGGTGACGCAACATTGCCATTCATAGCGTGAAAGACCATCAGAACTCTTAATGACCACAACTGCAGCACAAATCCAAAACATGCGTAATACTGAGTCCCTTTCATGTTTACATCTGTAACATATGTCTGATTGCGAAACCACTCCATCTGAAGGGCTCACTCAGCGCATAATAGCGCTTGTTAATAACGCAGTATTCACTGATCCAGAACTGCCTAACCCCCGGCTTTCTGGACCACTCTTGCGACGCCCTCTCTGTCATTCAATCTGGAGGTAGACCCAAGTCATTAGCAAGACACCAGGCCGCGGGGTCGTGCCGAGCTCGCGCCGATCATTCTGAAAACACCCACAACGGCTCTCGGCCGCCAAACCTGGCGCAACCGAGAAATGCACTTTAGCTTCAGAGCCATTCGGCAGCAGTAATTACTCTAATTACACTTGACATCGCTTTAATGAAAGGACTGTTCTTCCCCTGTTCATTAATGAAATCCCTGGAATGACATGAATCATAAAAAAGGGTTGCGTCTGCCATTAACAACAGAGTCATTAAATTTCATTATCGGCCTTCCGCAAAAGACGGTGAATATAAATTAGCTTCTATTACTGCAAAGGTCAGGCTCCCCAGGCAGTTGAGACTCATCACTGAAACGGTGTCTTAGTTCGTTTTCCTAATTAGGCCAGAGAGCTTGAGAAGTTTCTCTTTACGGTGTTGACGTCACAAAAGGAGTTCACCACGCACTCCTGCTCACCTGAAGACAGAGCAAGAAACAGACTGACCTCATCCACCACCGGCCAGATACAGAGATAGATACCTTATTGTTCACTACGGCGGAAACTTGCTTTTGGCTTCTCCCATAAAATTACAAAACACACAAGCAAAACATAAAACGTCACATAAAATCGCATGAAGTGCATGAAATCCCAACAATATGTAATACATAAACAAATGGATAAATAAATAGGTAGTACAGAGAAGATGAAAACCTCTCAGTATCTCCCTCTACACAGCTTGACTACATGAAAGGCATGATGGACAGAACAATGAACACAGAAGGTGTCTGTATGAGCCAATTCTTCCTCATACTGTGGAATTACCCGGGGCGTGTCCAGCTTGGGGCCACGCCTGGCCTGACTAGTCCCAGCTGTGAGGGCTCTTTAAAAGCACACTGGACACCCCGAAGGGACGAGCAGGGCCGCCCCGGAAGGGGACGATTGTTTCACCGGCAGTCCCAGAGGGGACTGTACCCGCGTAAGGCTGTCATTTTTCTTCTTTTTTTTTCTTTTTGTCTGTCCCGTCACGCATCTTCAGTGGGGCAGGCTGACCTTTTTCACACGTTGAGTCCTTATTGTGTTTTGGCAGGCTACAGAACTCTGGACATCTCCCTGCATGAAGCACCTGACCATCTGAGCAGCGCAAAGTTTAAAACAATTTAGAAAATAAATATTGAAAAAACCTGGTGAAACCTCAAATTAGTCACTTTTAAACAGCAACTAATCAATCTAAGCTAACATCACAGCTTCCATGCACAATCGTCAGAAGGACAGGGCTCATTTCAGCACAGAAAAATATAAAAAAGACAGTGATACACCAAAATATGTTTAAAGAGCAACACGTGAGCTTGATCAGCCACACGGAGAGCCCCATCTCTCATGCTGACCTCCCTGTCCAGCTCTGTCACGGGTCAGGGCAGGACTGTGTCAACACCACCCCTGAAACTCTCATATCATCACAGACAAAATGACTGGGAACACTACTGACAAAAAGGTAGAACTCTGCACAGAAACAAATAGTACAGAGGAGAACATAAACTTAAAATAAAATGAATACCTTAAAATAACTATTTAAGTCCTATTTACACAGAGCAGAAAACCCAAAGCTTTCATTGACAAATTCCTGGAGGCAGCTCTTCCAACCTCTACCAGCCATCTAGAGCCTGCCCACCGTGACACCCCCCGCCCAAGCCCTCACCAGCACAGACTGGACTTCCCCCAGACAGCTGGCGGAGACAAGTCTCAAATTACTTTCACGCCAAGAAACACGACCGGCAGTGTAGATCATGTTAGACAAATAGAAAACCAACTTCATTAGGAGCAACAGAACATAACTAATTTAAAAATGCAGAGCCAAACTGATTATAAAAGAACCTACTTTTCAACACCTGACAAGTAACAGTGCCGGGGCTCTGATGTCATCTGGGAAGAAGATGGGTGGGACATACACACCACACCAGCTGTCACAACCATGAGCTAAAGGCAGAGATCAGGCCCTAGCACCTCTGGGGGGGTGGGACAAGACTGTATCCATACTGGACCAGCACCAGTAGAGCAGGCTCTGTGGATAAGGACAGGACACATCACCGATCGCCTGACTGGTAGCAGCTTGCTCTGAGCCCTTGGAAGGCTTCTTCACTGGGGAAAAGGCAACAGAATCACAGGGACAGCTACAATCTTGCACTCCTTTACGCACAGGGAAGTGGGAGGCTGGAACAAGCTACCCAGCCACGCTGTTGAAGCCCATACCATGGCTTCTTTCAAGAAACGGCTGGAGGAGAACCACAGGTCGACTAGCCAGATGGGCAGACCGGCCTCCTCTCGTCTGTAACGCGGGGGGACCTCTCTCTCCCCAGCGTCTGGGTCACTCGCCCCTCTCAGCCGCCCAGCTCCAGCCTCGGGGGCAACTGCCCCTCCCCCCTCCCCGCCAGCCACCTTTCATCAAACCACACAGCCTCCAGTCAATCAGGAGGGGGAAATCGAGCGTGAAAGGGTCTAATTTTATTTACACGTCCAGACTGCGCTTGTGCGAGAGGCTCAGGGCGAGGCATGGCAGCAATCAGCCCCAGGGCTGCAGAGAGCCGCGGCCGGGGAGGAGACAGGCAGCGCCGGCCTCATTAATTAAGGAAGCGGTCATCAAAGCGCTCGTTAAAAAGTACTCAACCCCGAACGGCTGTGAAAATAAACATCCATTAGCCTGTGCAGGGGAGGAGGGCATGGCTGCAGAGGGGGGCAGGGGCGTTCGCTGGGGCTGAGGAGTGTGGGAGTGGGGGCAGCAAGTGTGCTTCTCTGGTTTTCACCGTCGAGAGCCATGGGGGTCTCACAGGCTCGGCGACCGCGGCAGCGCACCACGACAGCGCACAGCCAGATTCGCAGCAGCACAGTCTGCTGGGGTATAAGAACATCACACCTGAGGCTGTCCAACCCATCAGTGACTTGATCCAAGGATCTCAGCCAGCTGTTGCCTGGAAGAAGCCAGCGTACCAGGTACTCCCACAAGTCTCTCACCACAGTGTGTACACCTGAGATAAGTGATGACACGCACAGCAGAGCTAACCTGTTAGCCAGCTGAAGAACACTTAAGCTGAGGTCAATATTTTAGGTTCAATTTGTTATTTAAACCTATTTATTAAATAAACGCACATTTTTTAGACACCTAAATTACTGGCCCCATGGTTTCTGTTAGAAATTCGCTTCAGTTTCAAATCCACACACAGGTTCCTGGACTTGGGTTCTCATTATCGAGACATACTGTATATGTATCAAACACTCAACTCTGATCTTCCATGTACTATATATTCCACAGAATATGGGCTTTTGTCTCATATTTCCTCTCCGTCGTCAGAATCCCCAGATCATTCAGATATTGTGGATGCTACAGTATAGAGATCTAAACAGTATTTTTTACAGATGTTCTACTTAGTTGCTGTAAGAGACCTAAGATATTTTTGTTTTTCCTGTAAACACAACAAAAGACATACATCATACATTTCCTGCAACATGCTTTCAAAGTTACAAATATGAAATATGATTATATAAGGTTATTTATTTTTTAGAAAGTAGGTTATTCTCTATTTGCTCCTGTTCTGCATGCGTGTTAGATTTTCTTGCTAGCTGTCGAAGCTTGGCGTAAGACTTTGTGCTTCTGCAGCTGTTTTAATGCTGATAATCGCACAGACTCTCAGCAGACAGACCAAGGCCATACGTCCATCCAGGCCACACCCCCTTCCCAGCATGCTGAAGGAGCACTTGAGTCCACAGGGCACGACAGCACCTAGAGCACACGGCAATCTCACGCCATGCACACGCATTACTCACCGGCATGGTGGCATGTTCAATCACTGCTCCCTACAGGAGAGGGCAACAGAGCAGGGTCAGAGTCTGCTCCTACACCCAGCTAGCACTGCAGCCACACTTGAGCGAACACACAGATCCCCACGAGCCACTGTGTAGCCAACAGCCTGACTGCCAGCACTCAACACTGCGCCTTCTGATCTGACCTCCGCCACTCAGCCTGCACTGTGGCTTCCAACCAACATCCTCATAGTCGAGCAGCACCTGGGTAAGACTGACGCGCTGCTCTGCAGCTCACTGAGACACTGCTAGAAACACAGGTCTTCCAAAGTCAACTGTATTGCTCACAAACACAGACACGTAAAAGCGTCCTAACCTCAATCTGGATGTTCTTAGGTTGGAGATGAGCACCCCTACACCTGACTTAGACCTGACTGCCCAGGGCAAGCCTGGGAGGAACACAGACAACTTAGTTCCTTGCTGTTCAAATTGCTGGTCACTGCTGAAGAATAAGGGTATCGCTTCTGAAAGTGTAAATAAATTCTAAATTCTAGTATGAAACAATAATCAAACTATACCAAACTGCTGTAGTTAGCATGTGCATAGAAATATTATATTGTAATGAGTAAGTGAGACACCAGTAGCTCCTGCTGAAAGGGACTCGGACCCAGACCGGATCTCGTCACGCAGTGCCCCTCGGCTCTCTTCCCACCCCTGCACCTCGAGGAGGAACACGAAACAGAAACACAGGGGCTTTGTCATCCTTACGGTTGTATTTAATGTGCGTTTGGAGGGAGTCTCTGTTCTAACCCAAGATGTGACCACCAAGAGCAAAGAGGCCTCTGAAATCGCTGGATCTATCTTTAAAACTGTAGATTGAGGAAGGCTCTCAGTTAGTGGCCAATCAGTTATAGACAGGTAACATTCCAGCACCATATACCAAAATGTACACTTTGCCAAAACCCTATTCTTCACTATCACACATTTTGTTATATTTCTGAGCCGCCAAAGTAATAAAACTGTGAAATTCAGTGTTTAAATTAGGAAGTAGGAAATATTTTATTCATCTTATTCCTTGTACAGTAATAAACATCCATATCACTGTGGTAAAAAGTTAGTTTATGGCATTCTGCAGTGAAGTGGAGGACCAGAAACTAATCGAATGGTTATTCCTGGGTGTTTGAATGTGTCCTTGAAGGCATCTGAAAGTATTAGCACATCTGCCTGTCTTCCAGGGATCAGAGAGAAGTGTGTTCCTGGACTCGGAGACTGGCAGTATGCTATAATGGAGACAGTTTGGAGCCCCGGGTTTGAGGAAGTTTATGATTTCTGTTGCACACCACTGTAGTTGGAATTCAGTTACTGCCTGTTGATTGTTTTCCTGTTATAGGAGATTTCACCTGCAAAAGGCCTGACCTCTCCTTCTGTGTCCTTTCTGTGGTCATAGCGTCCAAAGGATTTGAGGAGTACAGACTAGGTCAGAAAAAGCTTTCAGTGCTTGGCTGCTCTCGAAACCGATTAAAAGCACATTGTATTTACAGAAGCTTTTGTTTCAGTAAAGTGCCTCTGCTGAGGTTAAAGGGAGGTCATGTCCTGCTTCACCAGGGTGACACTGTCTCCTGTGATCAGCGCGAGGCTGCAGTTGGCCTCAAAGAGCTGGAACTTTTCCTTTCTGTTTATGTTGAGTAATGACCGAGTGCACTTCCACTGGCAGATAAACAGAGCTGTATCCACGAGTTCATGGTCTCAGTGGTCAGACTAACCCCACGGTGAGGGGTGAGCCTGGGGTCATCAGACCTCCGGGCAGACTCCTGAGCGATGGCCTGGAGCAACAGGAAAGCGGAGGAGAAGCGGATCTGGGCCCTGTAAGGCTGATGGTCCAGATACGAGACACTGACGCAGGTGTCAGGGCCTGCGTTAGTCCACAAACAGTACAAGTGTTATAACAATGATTCTGCGTAGGAACACTACAGTGTGAGCGAACACTCTCTGTGCTTTAAAGAGGACAGGGTAACCAGGGCTCTGAGAAACTGGCTGGAGAACAAAGAGATCCTACCACCTGCCCTGTAGAATCAGCGCAAGACAAACACACATGGGCGCTACTCATAAACTGTTAACATGGGACCCCATTACCCACTGAAAGAAAGAAGTCACTTCTTTACACTAAGGCTTGTGGGTGTCTAACACACAAGAGCCCTGCCATCGTGTTAAAGTGCATTCCTTAACATCTGCGGATCACTTACAGTCAGATATCAAACAAGCTGGACTGGCTCAGTAACCATTGTCTTACTCTGCTTTTTGCTCTTCTTTTCTCATGGACCAATTGAATTTAGAGCGATTTAAAATGTCAGTGTCTTCACTCGTATTCAGCCTGGTTCTGTCTCTGCCTCATTCCTTTCCTGCCGTATTCCAAACCCTTCCAAACACTGCAGGGTCATTCTGCTGTCTCCTCTCATTGTGTGTTTTTGTCCTTACTCTAAAGTGCTTTGAGAAGCAACTTTTAAAAGTGTTATATGAAATAAAGTTTAATATTGCCTTTTAGTCCATTTCTCATCTACCCAGTATGAGATGCTTGATCTACAGAGGCAGCTGCTGACAGAACCCCACTGCCCCTCCTGCTGCCCCACTGGCCCACTGGCCCTCCTGCTGCCCCACTGGCCCACTGGCCCTCCTGCTGCCCCACTGGCCCTCTGGTCCTCTGCTGCCCCACTGGCCCACTGGCCCTCCTGCTGCCCTACTGGCTCTCTGCTGCCCCACTGGCTCTCTGCTGCCCCACTGGCCCTCTGGCAGGACTGGAGGACCCCTGGCAGGGTGGGGGGCACTCACAGGCAGGTGTGTGAAGACTGCAAAGGTGCTGCACAGGAAGGCGATGAGGTCGCTCAGGTAGTCGCTGGCCTTCCCACCGCCCGCCGGCGCCATCCAGTCATAGTCGGCCAGCTGCAAGAACTGGTCGATCTTCTGGTTGAGGTTGGTGTAGATCTCCTCCTCCGCCGTGTGCCGCGCGTCCTGCAGAGAGGAGGAGAGAGGGTGAGGAGGTGGGAAGAGAGTACAGGAGAGGAAGGAGGCAGGAAGAGAGCACGGGAGAGGAGGAGGAGGAGAGGAAGGAGGCAGGAAGAGAGCAC